TGTCGTGAGGTCTCGTGTGATACTCGTCCGAATTTATCTTTATTAGTTATTTTACCAAGGTACATTGCTTCCAGCTGTTTGCGTTTTGTACGAGCGAATCGGAAGCTCCCCGAAGGGCGCTGGGAGCTATAGCAGCATTTGTAATTGAATTGCGTCGTTTTAACTCGGGTAAAAACGTTCTGTTAGGTTCGAGAACATGTTAAACCGAGCACAACGAGCGAATCCAACCCTCTGGCTTAACGTCGATTTTGGTCACCCTTTTCAGTGATATGTTCGCCACGGAATTCCCCTTTCAAAGTAGTGTTGAACGATTTACAATGCTTTCGCAGGCGTCGGCGTTGTGGTAAGCTCCCACTGGGGATAATACGTTCAGAGAAAACTCAGCGGTGTACTCATATTAATTATTCGTTCAGTTGTGGAAAGGCCCGACGCATGGTCTACGTTCCTGTCTTATATAGCAGGTGTTTAGATGATCACTTTTTCTCCAAATCTGTAATGTGTTTTGTTTTGTGACATTTTCAATTTACGTGTGATTGTAGTGTCGTTATGGGGAGTAAACTGTCTTGTTCTCCAATTTGTGGGAGAAGAACGAAATCGAAGAAAAAGGAAACAAAAATCGTCTCAGATCAGGTCGCTTGTGACGTCTGTCACGCAGTTCAACCACTACAGTAACCACACTGGTAAATCGAATAAACTTTCATGACGTTGTTCGTCAGGCCCAACGCTAACGTTTTTGTATGCGAAACATGTCGGTCAGTAAATAGAGTATATATGGTATCGGGGGAACGCAGATTGAGTACCGTTACTGATCCCAATGTGAGTGTGCTGATTGTGGCCTCGGCAGAATGTGTTGTTGTAGATAATTTTGGATGATGTAATCGGTGTTGTTGCTGTGAACGGCGAAGTGAAGGCGACTACTATCGCGCCGTGCTCTGTGTGTCTGGATAATCCAGGGGACATGGTCAGCTAATCGAGCAGTGTTGAATGAATGACATTTTTGCTCCTCTCTGCTGAGCTCGGGAGTTTCCTCACTAGTTATAGAAGTTTACATAGGAAATCGGGTTGAAATGTATACGAGTCAACGACAATCTCCCAAAATTTCGCCAGAATTTTCACATTATCACCGACGACGCATAGTTGACCATGTGCATATTCTTCCACATCGTCCTCGCCGTAGAGTTGACGAATAATACCAGTTTGTGATAGGTTGTTTTACCCTGTGGCCACGCGGGAATTTGCCAGTCCTGTGCGGTTCACATAGCGAGCAACGAAGCTGTCGGTGGCAGTTGTTGCCCAAAATGCCGAACTGAAATCGACCAGCTTGTGAGCGCTGTTTTTGTTGTGTGTAACATGTGATAATTCGCGATAGGTTCGCATTGGAAAAGTGTATGACACTTCGATACAGGGAATCGAGGCTCCTTTCACTCGGCAGGCTAGGGCCCCACCGGTACCGTCGCCACCAGGATTGGAAAAAATGAAGGTAAAGTGTCGGAAAATATGTTGTGTATGAAAAACAAAGAATTTCCAGAGACTTTCATATCGTCGCAACACATGTCGCTGACTATTTGCTCATTTCTCTCCCATACCGTGAATGTTAGTGATGATGATGATGATGATGATGATGATGAATTTCCATATCTTCAGGGTCAGAGCAAGTCGTAATTGTCTGGTAGTTTTTACGCCCCTGGTCTCTCTTTATTGTTGTCCCCGATCTCCATATGAACTTGATGGATAATGCACCATTGTTTGACGAGCCATATCGTCTGTATTGCCGAATATGGTTTTCTTACTACAATTTGGTGTTGTGCTATTCTTCCGAGTCAATCTCTTGAACAGAAAACATTCACAGTCAGTGCTGGGTTGATGTGAAACTGGACTCCTTGAGGCACAATTCAGGCAAACTATCGAAGCTCGGTCAAGCACACATGCTTCAAATGAACAACAAGCGTACACTAAGAGTCTTGCATATTGGCTGTTGGCACTCCCACCAAGCATGTCGGCCGCAGGCGAGTATTGTCTGATATCTCATCTACTCTCGGGATTGTGTTGCCAGCCTCATTAGCATCGACGACTTGAAAGAGTGACTCGAACATGATTTCGAGCGAATCAGTCCACACATAGCCGTGTAGCGTGAAATAGATTGTGCGCTGATTACATTTCCAGGGCCGGACCTACGAGTGAGTGCAATGGGAACACCCCTAAGTTGATGAGTCAGTTGGATGCTAACAAGCACTAGACGATGAAGTTTCTGTGACCAAAAGATTGTCGTCCTGGGTCGGGGATGCTATGAGAAGACGCCTGTCTGTCGGGCCACGTAAACACGCATGTTGCCGCGCGTGAAGGTGCCACTACGAAGATCTGAATAGCCGCCTCCAACGGTGATTCAATGACAGGATTCCTGTCTGTGTTCCTTTCTTTATTTCCTCACAGTTGATCTATCCGTGTACGGTTTGTGACGAGTTCATGCTGTACAAGTGTGTGCGGAATCCTGTTCATTGGTAGCGTTTTACGTGAAGTGCGCGAGTTAATCGATTTTAGTAGAGCAGAAGGGCTCCCCAATGAGGGAGACCTCTGGGATCTTTTCCTTTAGTAACATCAGGATGTGATTAGACTTTCGTAGCAAGCTGAAAACATCTCCTGATGACAAACTCAGCATCATAACAATGTCCTTACGATTGTCCAGAGGTTGGTAGGGATACACAAAACGCCAAATTGTATTTAAGATATTCTCCATGTCTGTCCTCACTATTCTGGTTCATATCGTTATCTCGGCTCACGTCGGTGCCTCCAAAGTGAACAGTACTGATGTTAGCCCACCAGTTCTCAATCGCATAGGAGTCTCTAGACCTCTGCAAGTCGAGGCAGAGAATCCTCACCGTTGTTTGGGACCTCATGGATCACTTAATGGGTCATACTGCTTATACGTTTTGAAAGGTCCTCATCAAAGAAATGGTGGGTGCCTTATCGGCTCTAGCAACTTATCTCCCTACCATTTTGCTACCGTGGAGATCGGAGTCGGCTTCTCGGATGGGGAGCCCTCGGATGTTGGTGTTTGGGCGGATGGCCGGAGTGAAAAGGAGCTCAGCCTACCATATGGAATAGGAGTGAAGACGATTTTGACGATTCCAAGATACTCTAAGTCTGGTGGAATCCGTCATGAGCATGGTATGGCACTGCACTTCCCTATACGCATGGATGTTCACGTGGTCGTCCCCGGAGGGGGCTCGATTGATGCGGGTGGTATTAGCAATGGCGTTGCCTTCGTAAGTACAGTTGGCGGAACTCATTACATCAGGTCAACTACTACAGTTCTTAGAAATGATACTCTAAACATGTCGGTAAGGTACGTCGTTACCGGTGAATCAATTACTACCCAACTCTGGAACTTTTATAGTTACCACGACATAACAATACATGGGGTTGTGGGTGGCAAGGAACGCCTTGTCAAACGTAAGATATACGAATTCAACGATAAAGTCTAGTCTCATCGATATTTTCTCTATGTCCCATGCTTCCCACAGTTCTGAATCATGAGCTCGGATTGTTCTGACGAGCTTGGGAGGCATAAACTTATTTTACTGATGGGGGCTTCTGTTCTGCTTATTTTCACACACTCATA